TCTTGAAATCGAAGGGTTCGCTGTAATTCCCGGTCCATACGAGCGAGCCCATGCGGTCGTCCGAGAACTCTGGTTACACAGATTAGCACATGGATGTCGCGTGATACGATAGGGCTGACCCAACGCAGGGTTCATGTCACAACCTTCAACCAACTTCCTGGGAAATAGAACGACGTACCGAATATCGCTGGCCAATTCTGCCCACTTGTAGGCAGACCGTTGATTCCCAGAAACACATGGCCATCCATCAATGCTGTGCCGTTGCGATTGATCTGCATCTGCGGCGGCTTCACGTCCACATTGGATCTGTAAGTCTGGTACGGCGTGCCGCTTGGGTCTTCAGCTCCATAGCTATCGAAGTCATAGCTGACAGAGTCCTGCGCGGTAACGAGAGGCAGTAGTAGAGACGAGAGCTGCAACAGCGCAAGGCTAGCCTGAGTAACGACAGAGTGAACTCCGCGCATCGTGACGGCACACACTTAACGACTGACTGGAGCAGAACGAGACGAAAGCGACAGTAGACAGCGACAGGATATAGTAGTAAAGGATTCAGAGCACAAAGAAAGAGGACAATCAGGCTGAGAACAAAAGGCACCTGCACAAAAAAGGCGGCCAGCCGTCATGTACCCCGGCCAGGGTGCGGCTGTTGGCTTCCCAGCTCATCTCCTCAATCCGGTCTGTCGATTGCTTACACTTGGCCCGGATAAGGTGAGCAAGCCACGCGCATTGGGCCTAACACGTCTCTCTTAGGCGCAGGTCATGGGGTACGTGATCCTCTTCGATGCAGCTTGTAGCTTTTGGCTGGACAGCTGCAGGGTGTGGGGCCGCGGCATGTTAAGGGCCCAGAGTATAGCAGCCTACAAACCATCTATTACACGTGTGATTATGCTGCCCATTCACCGGTTCTGGCTCTGCGGCTTGGGTACTTGCAGACGCTGTTCGTAGGCTGACGACGGCTTTGTTGTGACGCAAAGTAAACAGCAGGCTGAAGTCAGGCGTGCTAACGGCACGCGTTGATGATACGGACGACTGTGCCGTGTGCGCCACAAAATGAAATGCGGCTGCCGCGTCGAGCGGGGCTTGAAGGATGATTCGTACACCACCGCCACAGTCTTTCACCTTCGCTTATCGCTTGCCAGGTTTTACGGAAAATTACTGTTGGTTAGCGCGGCATCATATCTCCACTTACATGAAGCAGGTTCTGGGTGGGTCGGTGGATGCATCGTGATGCCAAGTCAGGATGAATTCGTCGGCTTATGTTACCGTCTTGACCTCTTGGGCTGTTGTGCAGACCGGCTCTACTTGCTCATGAACTTTGAGGCCATGTTTAATACACTCCCAAGACCGCCACCAGAGTTACCGCCGCTACCAGCATTGCCTCCGCCCATCTGCGACTTCAAGTAGAACTTGAGAGCCATCTGTGCAGCCTGCGCAATGGCATCCTGCTTAGTAGCACTCGGGTCCTACGCGTGTCAGTAACGATAACAGATATAGTGAGCTTGTGACTTACGGTCTTGCCCTCGCTCTGTTGCTTGTCGAAAAGCTGGGCCGCCTGTCCCATGGCCATGCCGATGAACTTGTTCTGTCCGCCCTTGGCATCCTCGTTGCTGCTGTTGTTGAACATCTTCATGGCTTGCATAGCAGCAGCAGCTCCGACGTTGTTTGAGCTGGCTTGCTCGCTACCGCCACCGCTACCGTAGAACTTCTCGTGCTGCTTGACAGCGTCGTCCTCGTCAACATCCTCATCCTTGAGCTTGTCCTTCTTGCCGGACAGCATGCCGAGGACATTGCTGAAGAGGTCGTTGTCGCCGCTGTTTCCAGACTCGCTCGATGCGTGCTGGGCTGCACCAGAAAAATCATCTGAGCTGCCGCCGTAGCCGCCGCCACCGCCGTAGGATGTGCCAGAAGATTGTTGGCCTTCATGGTGACCGGATCCGCCGTAGCCTCCCGAGTTACCTCCTCCATAGCTGCCGCCTGATGGGCGGTCGTTGTAGCTGTCACCTCCGGATGGGCGGTCGTTGTAATTGCTGCCTCCGGATGGACGATCGTTGTAGCTGCTGCCTCCAGACGGACGGTCATTGTAGTTGTCGCCGCCGCCTGAGTAGCCACCGCTTGGACGTGACTCCTGGCGGCTTTCGTCTCCATATCCTCCGCCACCCGAGTAACCTCCACTGGGGCGGTCACCGCCATATCCTCCTCCACCCTCTTGTCGTCGTCCACCGTGGTCTTCGCGTCTGTCATCACCTAGCGCAGGGCCACCGTAGCCGCCTTCCTGTGGTCTTCCATGTTCTTCTCTGCGCTCACCGCCCCCACCGTAACCACCTGAGGAGCCATAGCCACCTCCACTGCCACCCCTTCTCTCTTCGTCGCCAAGAGCAGGTCCTCCGAAGCCTCCCTCCTGGGGACGGCCGTATTCTTCGCGACGGTCACCGCCACCGCCGTATCCGCCCTGCTCGTTTCCGCGACGATCGTCTCCCCGGCCACCGTAGCCAGACTCCTGGCCGTACTCGCGGCGGTCGTCGTTGTAGGACATTTTGTAGGGTCGAGAGTCTACATACGTGTTAGCAATGGATGCGCCAGGCTGCACTACTCTGAAAGTGCCGATGTAACTATGAAGCGTAGCGTCGATGCTTGCCAGTCTGACGAACGTTCAGAACGCTCCACTAGAAGCTTGCTCCGATGCTTAGGAGCAGCCAAGCTTCATGAGACCGAGGCGAGCATCCAAGCTCGCAGCTGATCAATGCCTATGAGAGTGGAAAACTTACAATGTGTGGTGAGTAGAAGAGTGAATAGGTTGGGTGTTGACAAAGTGTGTATGCGTAGATGTGTGTTTAAGGGGATGTTGGCTTCAAGTGACAGACTGGCAGCTATAGCTCTGGACCCCTCCCAGCATGAGATTGCCCCGCTAGTGACGTACACCACGCGGCAAGCTTCCCTGTCATGATTCGCGCTAGTGTTACAGTAGCATCTGCACTGTCTGGGCTCGCATGTTATGTCACGTCACGCGATTCATCGATTGGCGGTCAGGGTCTTTAGGGTACAATTGGCTTGCACTTCTACAATCATACTATAGTAGCCTCGGCGCAAAGATTGCACTACAGGAGCCAAGCGACGATTTGCAGCTATGAGCGGCCATACCGAATCTACCGACCGTCATGGCATTACACCGACCTTTAGTAGTCATCGCTTCTCCTGTTTGAGCTACCATATCCCGAGCTCTCGCGGTCGTTGGAGCCGTAGCTGTCTTCGTTCTTGCGTCCAGAGCTTCCGTACGAGTCATTGTCGTCACGGCCCGAAGAGCCTCCATACCCTGAAGAAGTGTTGCCGGAGCCATAGGAAGATTCTTCAGAAGCTCCAAAGCCACCGGAGGACTTGTTGCTGGAGCCGTAGCTGTCGCTGTCCGTCTTGCGGTTGGACGAGCCGTACGAATCATCATCGTCCTTGCGGTTCGATGAGCCGTAGCTCGACTGGTTCTTGCTACCATATGAGTCGTTGTCATCGGTACGGTCCGAAGAACCGTAGCTGGACTGTTTGTTGCTGCCGTACGAGGAATCATTGTTGTCGTTGTCGTTGCGGTCCGAAGAACCGTAGCTGGACTTCTTGTTGCTGCCGTACGAGTCTTCATCGTTGTCGTTACGGTTTGATGAGCCATAGCTCGATGATTTGTTCTCGGAACCGTACGTATCGTCACTGTCCTTACGGTCGGAGGAGCCATAGCTAGACTGCTTGTTGCTACCATAGGAGTCCTCGTCGTTGTCGTTGCGGTTCGAGGAGCCGTATCCGGAGGACTTGTTGCCAGACCCATAAGAGTCGTCGTTGCGGTCTGAGGAGCCGTAGCTGGACTTCTTCTCGGACCCGTAGGTATCGTCGTCATCATTCTTACGGTTGGAAGAACCGTACGAAGTGTTATCGTTGTCATTCGACCCATAGCTAGACTTCTTGTTGTCGTAGGACGAGTCCTGGTCATTTCCATACCCGGAAGACTTGGAGCCGTACTCGTTGTCCTCACGGTTGCTGCTACCGTAGCCTGAGGTACGATCCTCGCGGTCGTTGTCGTTGTAAGACATGTTGATAGAGATGTGTTTGAGTGAAAGACTCTGAAGGGTTGGAATATTTGGTAGAGAAGTTGCTTGCTGTTTGCTGAACACTGACTATCGTGGCAGGTCTCTTCCTCTTTATATGCGTCCTCTCGAGGGCAGCGTACCCCTCTATCACCCCGCAACGCCGAAAGCAGGTTTGGTGTTGTTCATCCCGTCTATGCTGTATTACTATCGCTGTGACCCCTGTGAAGCTGAGCCGTACATTCGGACCGCTCTAGATCTCGGCAAAGTCCGGATGTGCCTTGGTTCAGCGGCAGCTCATCGCCAAAACTGTCATGGTGTGTGATTGAGTCTTCATCGTGGCACCGCAAAGCCACCGCAAAGAAATGGTCCAGGAAGGATGAGAAAGTTTGATGTGGCCTGTTACAGCATCGAACGACCTCACCAACTCTTGTAGTATTACCGTGGATGCACCGAAGCTGAAATTGCGGGATTAATGCGGTGGCTGATCGTGGTTACACTTTGTTCGGACGCATCTGGAGAGTTGGAGGGGTAGCTATCGAGTGGGCGTGAGCGAATAGAGCAAGTGCGATCGGACACGGGATGACCGAGGGGTGGGACATCGAGCACGCAAGCGACATGGGTTGCGAGCTGGACCTACCCAGCACAGCCACCTCAGCCACGCTTCCAGCCACGGCCTAACCCACAATTGATTAATGTATGTGCTAGAGAGATACCTCCAGACAGTAAGTAGGTTCCACGTGACTGCGATTACGCGGTACAGTTCGCTTCCATTTGTCTTCGTTTGTGCGACCAACGCGTCCGTCTGGACTTGGACCATCACCAGCGTACGTGGCACCAGCAAAGGCTCTTGCTGAACCCATACTGTAATTTCGTTCACCGATGTACGTTTCCACTCATACTGCGTAGGCTGTTGGTTGCCTTCATACGTATCTTGCTCTAGATTGCAGGCTCATCGCCAGGAAGACTCTGCTTCAATTCAGAGGTCGCACGCTCGATCTTTACTGCCATTGACCCTTGACAGAGATATCTTGCAAACGCCGCCGGCGTTATGCCATTGTCCGTGACAGTAAAAAGATCAGCGCCCCACTCGATCAGAAGATCCAACACGTCTTCATGGTCATGCGCAATTGCCTCGATAGTTGGTGTCCAGTTGTCCCAAGTTTTCACGTTGATGTCGCAACCGTACTCCTTGAGTTTTTGCACTATATTCAGATCTCCACCACGACAAGCTCGGTAGAATGGAGTGGCTCCGGATGTCGAAGGTACATGTGGATTTGCGCCATGCTCCAGCAGCATCTCGAACACCTCGGACGCACCATACTCGGCCGCGAAATGTATCGGAGTCATAGCTCTTGTGAACTCCGGTTCGGAACTTGGCTGCTCAGCGTTCGCACCATGTTGCAGTAAATACTTTGCTATGTAAATGTTGTTCTCTTTGGCCGCTACAGCTAGGCATGTCAGACCGTTTTCGAAGGTATAATCCAGGCTAGGTAATTGTTGGATCAGGTTCTTTGCAGTGTCGTTCAAACCAAGCCAAATGCATAAGCAGATAGGGGAATAATCGAAGAAGTTGGTGTCGGTGTAGGTGGTCGAAAGCAGATCCTGCCATCTTGTGTAGCAAGGTGGCCCCTCCACAGAATTGAAGAACAAAGACACGAAAGGTATCGCAGTGTTTGGCGCTGACCAATAGTCTCCTGCAAGCGTCGCATGCCTGTACCAGTTGAACGCGGCATATACGCGGAACACGTATGTCTCACCGACATCCGGATCCAGACTTTCGTCCAGTGGCTTCCTGAACGCATCGAAAGTGAGATATCGTAGACACAATCCAGCCATCCAAGCATGTGCCTCGTCCTTGTCGACGTAGAAATTGTTAGCTGGGCTTTGTCGAATCTCATCAGAGCTGAGATACTCTTGAAATGAGTAATGACACAGCTTCACTACGCTGATTAGGCCGTCCAAATCTTCGATGCGTACAAGAGCAGATACAGGTTCCAGGATATCGTACGGATCCGTAGCTACAGCGTCATGGTCCAGATCATGTTCCTCGGGTTCTATGGCCAAGACCTCTGCTAGCTGGCGAGCAGTCATGGGTGAAGCAGCAGCAACAAGACACCGGAACAACTTTCGTACCTCTTGAATCTTAGTTGGGTATCGCGCAGCGATGTTGTGTAGAAGTATCTGGTACGTGTATCCAAGCCCATTTGGTAGTCTTTGAATCATGTGTTTGATTTCCTTATCCGACTTCGCTGCACAAATGTAGTCGATCTGCAAACGTGCCTGTAGTATTCTAGACACTGTTAGCTGTCTTTCTAAGAAAAAACAAATTATGCTTCCTGAAACCTGCGCCCAGCTCACGTGGCTTAAAGGAAAAGGTAACTTACGTGCCTGCGCAGAGGGAAATACGCCGCTGTATGACAGGCAGGATGCTGTTGTTCCTCACTTTCAATAAACCCTTGGCTAGGCGCAATTGAAGTTCTTCTTTGATGTAGTGCTGGGTGTCGGGACGCATATTCTCTGCAAGAACGATGTGTGTCATGCCAAGGTTTGGATATCGCCCTTGAGTGCGAGCATCGAATCGGCTCGTGAGGAGGGTTCTGATACGGCAGCCCGCGCTCGTTCCGGAGTTGTGTATTGCTGTGAGGCTTTGAGCTATAGCATCACCTTCAGTGGACTCGTCGAGCGCGTCCACGATGACGGATACCTCTTTCAGGCATGCCGTTGCCGAACAGATCAGTGGTATGTACTCATCTTTGTGACAAGGACGACTGCCTTCCTTAGATTTCTCATTGTACAGCGCTCTGCCTGGTTCGAGAGACAATGGTGAAGCTTCCATCATCTGCCTCACGATGCTTGCAGCGAAGTTTTCATGCGCCGTTTTCGCACGATCACGATGATCGCAGAAAAAGTATACGACCGCGCTGGTATCCGTACACATCTGTTGAATATGTCGAATAATAGAAGCACAAAGAAGCGTCTTCCCTGCTCCGGGAAGACCAGTAATCCACATGGTACCAGAATCCGATTGTTTCCAATCTTGGAACTCCTTTGAGTGCAAGAGCCATTCTCCGGTCCCAGGAATATGGCGACTCAAAGCACTTGCAAGACTGACATGCGCACCATCAGATGGCGTTGGACAGACCCACGTGATTACCTTCTGTGCTTCCTCACGACTCATCTGCGTACGAAGCTGCTCAGACATATTCTTCATCTCATCTGATATGAGGCTTTGTCCTAGTTCGATACGCCGAATCGCGGATCTGTGGACCGTTTAGGCCAGACACTCATTAGGAAGCATACATACTCACGCAGAGTTGGCATCGATAGCATTCGCAAGTAATCCGCGCATGTGATGAAGCCTCTGCAGGGCGTCTTTGGTCTCTTTCTCTTTGAACGGCCACATCAATCTCCTTCCAAAGTTCTTTGCATCTTGACCATTGACCTGCTCGCATTTCGCCAGCGCCCGCTCGATCGACTTGAGCGTGGACTGGCATTCTTGAAAGACACCAACCCGTTCAAGAGCCTGCAGTGCATCGTCTGCAGCTGCTTTGGGCGATGTATCTGCGATTTGCTGTAATTGCGCGAGAAGGCTGTTGACGGCCGCGGTTTCCGTCAGGAGACTCCGGATCTCGCTGGGCGCTCGCGCGACCTTCGATAGGAAGTTGTAGCCGCCAGCGAGTAGGGCACCGCTCAGTTGGACAAGCTGAGCGACAGATGCAACTGTACCAACGACCTCAGCCATGGCAAGCAGCCAGTAATGAATGCATGTGGTCGATGGCTGTGAGTGCGCGCAGTGTAGGAGTCTAGGATGGTAGGCGCGTCAGAGCTGAAGTTCAGCGCGAAGGCGGGGAGGACCCCAGCCACTTCACTTGGGCGCTCACGCTCAGCAGCCAACACTTGCAATTACATGGAATCAAAGCAACAAGGCAATACGTTTATACTACAAATCCAGGAATATCATCAAATATCTCTTCGCGACCCTTCAACAGGCCGTTCCTCCTCTGCCTCATTTCTCCTGTCATACGCCTCCGCCAACGCCTTCAACTCCCCCAAATCCTCAATGAGTATAGTAACATTCTGTTTTGCCATCAGCAGAAGAGCATCGAGTTCCTTCTTCTTAAGAAGGCTTTGTGTCACTTTTCCAGTCGGCAGAGGCGGGGCGACATAGCCTTCTGGCTTACAGAATTCTAAAAGCCCGTCGTCTTGGGCACTGGGTGTCGGAGTGCGCAAGAAGATGCATGCCAAAGGACTACGGTACATTTCGCGCCTTTTCTGAATGTCGAGGAGTGTGCGCCAAACCTCCCATTCGCGCTCCCAACATCCAGTCAGGATCTTGGTGCTGAAATCTGCTATGCGCTTTAGCTCGGTAATCTCGTCCTGTAAACTACTGTTCTCTCGATCAAGTTCTCTGATCTGGAGGTGGTTCTCTTCGAGCTGCGTGCTGAGCTGCGGAATGAGATCTTCTTCTAGGCCCCAGACGCGATCTTGGAGACCGTAGACAGCAGCATGCAACCTTTGGACAAGACGCACTACTATTGGAATATCCGACGCGGCATTACTGGGCGGCACAAGTGCAGGGAATGGCGGCAGATGCGGAGGTGCCGAGTCTTGGACGACGTCGTAGTGAAGGGCCAGCTCGGACGGTGTTAGTAGCGAACAGAGGAGGTTGAAGACGTGCTCTGGCACGTTGTCGGGAAGCGCAGGTGGGTAGTGGAGGGCAGCGTTACCGGAGTCTCCGCTAGAGCTTGATGGGGGATAGTAACCTGGATGTACACCATTTGTTAGTAGAGCTGGGGTCTCGTCACTGCCTCCTCGTAATGGCCAGTTATCGGGCGTGGGGGATCGATAGAGTGTGCGGCTTGAGCTTGAATCGCTGTGATGTTCAGAACTAACACCATTTGTTAGCGGCTGCTGCTGCTGCTGCTGTTCACTCCCCCTTATATCCCCTGGTGATTGCGATGGAGGCGTCTGCTCAGCCTGAAGGCGATCATGAAACGCACTTCCAGCAATCGGGTAGCTGAAGTTTGGAACAAGACCAGCGTCTGCCATCGTGATAGGGTGAGTATCTTCATTCCTAGAATCAACAGTGGTAGAGTCGTGAGGCACTCTTTCTCGGATCCTTGCCCTTGTGGCCGGGTCGACAACATCATTGCGAATGATACTGTTAAGCGCCGTAAGCCATGTTAGTAGTTCAGACTGCTCGGTCCGGCCTAAGGAACGATCTGGCAGTTCTGTCGAAGGTTCCGCTTGAGCTTGCATATTCACAGAATCTGCTGGAACTAGCGGGACAGGTGGATCCGTCTGCAATACCGAATCAACAGTAGACCGAGGCGGCGCTGTTGGGTGCAGTCGGGCTGCGGGGGTTGTCGTTGTCGGCAGGCTGTGTGATGCGCTCGACTCATTCACAGTAGCCTGTACACCAGGATCGCCGGACTGATGATTACCTGGAGGGAAGTCCATGAAGCCATCCCACTCACTTGTGCCTGGCGTGATCGGCACCCTCGGGGGAGTTGGTAGTCTTGGGGGAGAAAGTCGCCGCTCTGGAACCTGTGCCCGCCGAACAGGAGGAGTTCTGCCGTTTCGCTCCTCCCATCGCCTAAGATTCTCTGCGTTTTGTGCGGAAGTCAGATACTCACTCGGTACAGGCCTTGGATGCAGTGTTTGCCCAGCCGCAGCAGACTTGTTGTTCTTCTCTTCCCACCTCCTCAGGTTTTCTCTGTTCTGTGAGGCCGTCAAGTACTCACTTGGTACGGGTCTTGGAGGGAGCTTCTGCTCTGCTTGTGTTTTCGGACGCCGGATTGGAGTCCTATGCACCTCCTGCCGAAGCTCTCCACCTGGTGGACCAGCGTATATTGGTTCAACGTCCGAAGCTAGCATGATGCTGTTGAAGAAGAGCTGCTCTCGTGGGTATATATGGCCTCGGTACGGACCCCTATCGATGATCACCGGAAGTTCGTCAGGCGAGTCACCACTTCTGGGCCCAATACGTCCGTCATCGAGGTCATTTTCGATTTTGTCGAGAGCCCTTTGCCTCTCCTTCTCGCGTTGTGTTTCTAGCTGCCTCGGTGTAGGGGACGGCTCATGGATCGTGTAATAATGAGTAGGGCGTCGGAATGGGTGTTTGAGTCGCTGAAAGGATGGCATCGTCGTGGTTCTGATACTGGGAGTTAGGTGGCGGAGATACTGGACAGGAGATCAGAACATGAGTGTTCGATGGTGAGGATACATGCTGGGCTGTTTGGCAGTTCCATGTGCTCGGTTGTGACAAAGGGGCGTTTGTGAACGCGCTGGCTGAACATTCGCTTCAATGCAATCGCAGAGCGGTGCGTGGCCATGGTGATATCTGGACACGTTGATCCTCGGCAAAGGTGATGTCGATGGTTTGGAAGGGACAACACAGACAGAGCACAGTCCATGCGGTAAGGTTGGAACGGAGTAGAGGGGTACCGTGATATGTTGGAGCCTGAAGGTATTATTGCCGACGGCGTTATAAATATACACTACTTGCATTGTAATCTCTTGCAGCGAGATGCTTACTGTGAAGCCATGATCGTTCTTCCGGGTATGCAACAACCGTAAATGCGCCATGAAAAAAGAAGAAACCGCTCCATGGCTATGCAACCGCGAGAATGCAGATGAAACGCCCCCATGCCGTGTGATCGTAAACCGTAACGCCGAAGAACCTCAAAACCTCTTCTTCGCCTTGGCAGCCATAGCCATCAACTTCTTCTTACGTTCTTCTTTCTCACGCTTCAACCGATTTTCCTCCGCTAGTGCCTCCGCGTCTTCCTTCTTAGCAACCTTGAGGGCTATCTGTTCTTCTTCTTCTACGTCCCAGATACCACCTTCCATATCAGAAGAGGCGTCAGAGGCATAATCTTCTTCTTCGTCCTCCATCTCACTGAGCTCGTCCCAGTCTGCGTAGCCGTCATATCGTCCTTTGCCTGGGTTCGGTTTGGCCTTGACGGCTGGTGTGCCGTTTCGACTAGACGTTGCAGGTGCGCTTGTTGGACGGGCGGTTCCCTTGTAGCCAACCTCAACAGGCTTCTTGGCAGGTCGTGCTGTGCCTTGATAACCAACTTCGACAGCCTTCTTCTTGTCTTTCGATGGATCGGCTTTCGGGTCTGTTGTTCTTGAGGGTAATCCAGCGACGGGCTTCTTGCCCTTTGCGCCGGCACTTGCTTCTGCCTTGAGTGCCAAGCGTTCTTTTCGTGTAAGGATCTTTGTTGGTTCATGCTTGATTGGTGGGACGATAGGCTTCGTTGAGTCCTTCTCTTTCGCCTTCTGAAGCATAGCGAGATATCCTTTCTTGGGTGCGGCAGACGAGGCGGGTGTTGAGGTGGTGGCGGCGGGCGCAGGCTTGGGTGCAGGAGCTGCAGCCTTCGGTTTGGCAGCGGGTGCGTTTGACGACTGTAGAGGTTTTCGCACGGGGGGATTCGCCGGCTTTGAGGATGCTGGTGCAGCAGTGCCACGATACGGGACGGCGGTGGTAGATGCGGACGGAGCTGGTTTCGACGTGGCAGGCGATGAGGTGGCGCGCACGGCACCATTTGCCTGCGCTGATCCCCCGACAGCCTCTTTCCGCTGTATCTTGACCTGTGTACTCTCGACTGGACCTGAGGCCTTGCGCTTCAGCTGGGGGGTTTGCGAGGCGCTACTTGCCCCTCCGATCGGTCGCGGCGCTGGCCTAGGGGCTCCGGCGGGCGGGCCTTGCTTCGAAACCGTCGCCTGCGTCTTCGCGCCCGTACGGTCGATTATAGACATGATGTCTTTGAGAGACTAGATGATGCAGTCAGCATACGACTGCTGGTGGGGATGGAGTCGCCGGACTCACGCTCATGATGGGCAACTGATAAGCGTTTGACTCAGGCTACCGGTCGTCAAATCGATTGGAGGACAAGTTGTACATGCTTTCCGGGTGAGATTCGCCGGTGTCGATAGTCGGCGGTGACTGATCACGCGCGCGGGGAGGAGGATGGGCGCACGGGACCGGTCGTGGATTGAAGAGGGGAGCGGCCAGAGAATGAGCGGTCGGCGGCGGCGCAGACATGTCGCTTTTATACATGGCTTTGCGCCTAGCCCGACGACACGTGACAAGGCGGGCGATTTGCGCTAGTCGCATTGCGGCATAGCCCAGGTAGCGAGATCCCACCCGAAGTCAATATTCGCGGACTTCGAACTTTTCTTTTCTACGACAACCTACAGAAGAACTTGTAGCTTCAGTCTCCGGCCCCGACGGTACGCACTACTTTGGAATCGCATCTAGCAGCGCAATACTGACAAGCGCAGGTTAAATCGATTGAACTCCTGTTCCAGACAAACCACCCCAACAATCACAATGAAGCACCTTGCGGCATACCTCCTCCTCGGTCTCGGTGGAAACACCTCCCCCTCCGCCGCTGATGTCAAGGTAAGACGACAACCTAACACAAATCGCTATACCACGTTCTAACAACGCAATAGGCCGTCCTTGAGTCCGTCGGTATCGAGGCTGACTCCGACCGTCTCGACAAGCTGATCTCCGAGCTCGAGGGCAAGGACATCAACGAGCTCATCGCCTCCGGTTCCGAGAAGCTTGCTTCCGTTCCCTCTGGTGGTGCCGGTGGCGCTGCCGCTTCCGGTGGTGCTGCTGCCGCTGGCGGTGCCGCTGAGGCTGAGGCCGCTCCCGAGGCCGCCAAGGAGGAAGAGAAGGAGGAGTCTGACGACGACATGGGTTTCGGACTCTTCGACTAAGCGCGTCGCCAACCACCTCTTCACGATGTATGATCCAGCAAATCTCTCGACCATTACGAGAATCATGCGCAACGAGTTCGATTTGGGGAGTGTCGAGCGAGCACTACAAGGGATTTGGAGAAGGACACTGCGGCATTACTAGATTAATTGCCTGCTGAGATACCCGGAATGAAGCCATGCACCCTCAAACATTCATCAAGTGTACTAGTGCCGTGTGATGCCCAACCAATCCCGCATGGTGACTGTGATTGTTTGGCATGACCATCTTTGACTAAAGGTGCGTTGTCTCCAATTAAACCAGGTCCCAGTTGGAGTCTAAGGCGCATTCTCATCTACTTACAACAACATGTCATGTCAAATCTCGCGACTGGCGAACCGACAGTGAGATGTATAGAGATACCACAGCTACCATGAATGAGCATAACAGAGAATGTTATGATCTTGGGGAAGTATTGAAGTGACCTCGGATCATCATCTAGACTTAGAGAAGAATAGTCGCGTGTGAACTCACTGCGTCATCAGGTATTTGAAGTCGTTGTATGCATCTTATGTGAAGCGGGGGTGTTGTCAAGATTCTGCAACTTTTTGGCAGGACGTAGTAGCTTGTTACATTTTGGAGCGACAATTCATCGTCACAATCATGTTCACATCAATTATGTTCTCTAGATGTTCTTGGGTGAATAGCATGATCGCAGCTGCCCGTCTGGACTGGCGCTAAAAGGTCTCGCTTAGCGCACGGGGCAGCTACACCTCCAGGGCTCTAATTTCAATATCGCCCATCGAGAACTGACGACCGACAACTACCCTCGCGACCCAACGAAGTTCTCCCATCACTTCGACAACCACAAACATGGCTGACGCTGACTACGATCCCGAGGCCGCAGCTGGTACGCCCTTGCCCTCCGCACCAGACCTTCCCACACTCCCGCACCGCTCTCCCTGGATACGTAGACGCACAACGTGATGGACATGGCTAACAAACACAACAGCCCTTAAGGCCAAGAGGGCGTTCCGCAAGTTCTCTTACCGCGGCGTTGACCTCGACCAGTACGTCTTCCGATCCCTGCGACTCCTCGAACGCGCTGGAAATATACACAGGTGTGGCGGTATTCTGATCGATACACAGGCTCCTCGACCTCGGCTCTGAGGAACTCCGCGACCTCGTCCACGCCCGTGCCCGCCGCAGGTTCAACCGTGGTCTTAAGCGCAAGCCCATGGGTCTCATCAAGAAGCTCAGGAAGTCCAAGCGTACGCACCACCATCCGCTCAGCCGATGGGTCATTGCTAACACAAAACAGAGGAGGCCAAGCCCAACGAGAAGCCCGACCTCGTCAAGACCCACCTCCGTGACATGATTGTCGTCCCCGAGATGATCGGCTCCGTCATCGGTGTCTACTCCGGAAAGGAGTTCAACCAGGTCGAAATCAAGCCCGAGATGGTCGGCCACTACCTCGCCGAGTTCTCCATTTCATACAGGCCCGTCAAGCACGGAAGGCCGGGTATTGGTGCCACTCACTCCTCCCGTTTCATTCCTCTCAAGTAAACGAACTGGGTTTTGGTTGCATGGGTTCTTTCGTGGGGCGGATATGTACTTGATGACCTACAATGAATAAGGTGTTAGGTGCATTTACTCTCGATGGCTACGACGTACACAACGGTCACAGCGGGCATGAAGATATGGTGTAGATAGCACCACCATGACATTCGAGATACCTCCAAGACTGCTCCTTCATTACGTGATATGCACATGTGATGGTGACGATGCAGTTATTGGTTAATCAAACATGGCGCTATGCTGCACTTGACATTCCGACGTTCGAATTGTACCAAGACATGGTAAGCCAACGAGACGATGGGTAATAGTAATCTAATTGGGTATTGTTACAATAAGAGAGTCGACTAGGATGCGATGCTGCTACCTCCCTAGGCGCATCTCAACCTTTGCAAAGTTATACAGGGCTCGCAGGAAGACCTGATAGTTGACACCCTTGTTGTCTGGTAGGTGGCTGCATTGTATGTCAGTAGAGACTCAGTGGTTCAAGTATGTCAACTTACAAGATCTCCGTCAACCTCAGCTGCCACGGTGGGTATCCCTTTAGTTGCACCGTAGGACTGAACAAAATCAAAAGATCCGGCTCACTCGAAACGTGGTCGTTCAACTGCGCATCAATCAGGTCCGTGTTGATCTGCTCTTGTCGTACGTCTCCCTTCTGGGCCATTTCGGCCAGTGTGCGCGTCAGGTCGACGATGGTGTCGCGGCCGTCGTGTTCGGAGAGGAGGAGGACGGTAAGATGCTGGCGTTCTTCTCCCTTAAGATCGTCGTCTGCACTCTGAGGAGGCGTGTTGGGAGGAGAGTAGGAGGATAGGTGCGGTGCACGGAGCGAGAGCGTAGGCTTGCGATGGGGTCCGAAGTAGGCTTCTAGGGTTGACCAGATGGAGGCGTGAGTTTGGGGGAGGTAGTTCTTAAGTACACCTATTCGTTCTTGTCAGCATAGCTCTACGGCCAGAATGTGAAAGACCTACCCGTCCGTTCGTAGACGCTCAGAAAGGGTATGCCGGCACTCGCTGCCCATGCTGCTATCTCGCAAACATCGTTCACGAGTCCTTCCAATCCAGCTGTGCCCTGACTTCCGTCGTCCTCTTGGTATTCAACTATCACACTGAGGTGCTTTGGCAGCTTCTCGAGGTCCTTGACATCGTGGGCGATGAACTCCGGCGTGCGGTGGTGGTACTTGAGCAGCGAGACGACCTTGCCCCTGACAAGTCGGTAGGCGCGACGGAAGCGGAAGAAGATGCTGAACAAGAGAGCGACGACGTGGTAGATTGCGAGGTGGAGGAAGGTCTTAATGGGGCCTGCGAGTGGCTTGCGGTTCTGTTGGGCTGCGCGTTGGCGGCGGTCGCGGAGGGCCTTCTTCTTCTGCGCCTGCGTCTCGCTGTCGGATGGTTCGGAGGGGAGAAAGGGCTTCAGAAGTTCTTCGCGTTGCTGGACGGAGAGTTGCTTGCTTCGTCTAAAAGCGGCCTCTTGCGTGGGAGTCAGGCCTGTGGTAGCCATTACGGGCGGTGTGGAGGGTGTTGAACAACAAAATGAACGGGACAGGCAACGTTTGTGGGAACAGGGTCAAGTAGTTGGAGTATGACAGAAAAGAGAGGAACAATGCGCGCGTTAGCTGGCCATGTCTGGCAGACGTAAGATGATGAAATATCCCGGTGAGGCTGGTGCATACGAAGTACGTGTGGCGCCGTGCCTGCCGAGCACAGCCAAGTATAGACGCGCATCCCGCCTGCTCCGCCATGCGCTGAGGCGTCATTACGCGGATGCTTTCGCAAGTACTGTGAGGCTGTAGACAAGGAACGCATTGTTTTGCATCTTTGTATACGGCCTACCCAGGCTGGACTGGTGGCATCATAGTGCATGGGGTCACCCGTTGTTCGTTCGGCTGGAGCTGCTGCGAGTGCGGATCTGGTACCGAGGCGTGGGGTGTCCACGGGTGCGACAAGCCACAGTCGCGACTCGGACATGTTACACGCTACATCACCACATGCAAATCACTGCAACAGGAGACATTTACGCCTAATACCATGCGGGAGTGAAAGAGGCGTATCCTTTAGCAAAACCCGGCAATTTCATGCCCCGCGACAGCTCAATCAGCACCTCCAGGGCAACCGGGGGCATTGGCGCGCTGGGCTGCTACGATAGACGTCCGTGATAGTAGACTCGAGTGATACCCAGCACCCAAGGCGCAGTTGCCCACACCTCTGCAACCATGCAGCGCATCAGCTCCGATGGCTCGTCGGTACTCACCCACCAGACATCGAGGAATTCAATACGCGCGCCGCAGTTCACCCTAGAGAAGTTCACCGTAAGCAGCCGTACAGCTTCCGCTTGGTTTCCTCTGTTGACTCTCACAGAGCAAAGACTTCCTTGTCAAAGACTTCATCGAAGATCTCTCCCAAATTGCCGTACCTGCGACACGACGCTCCGGAGGCGCTGCCGGCCAGCAGACATTCGACCCCAAGCCGCTCATTCGCACTTTCGAACACGCCCTCACACGGCTCAACAGTCTCTCTGAAGACCTAGAAGAGAAGGAGACTGAGCTCTCCACAGCCGTGCGCCGTGCGGAGCTGCAACACAACCAGAATGTCGAATCGCTTGGGAGACGGTTGGAAACGGCCATGGATAAGTTCCAAAGGCTAGACAGCTCGCTGAACGGCAATGATGAGGGAGGGTCCGATACTGGGGGTAACGTGGCCATGCGCATCGGAGAGCGACTCGAAGAGCTCGATCGCCAGCGGAAGCGAGCTCTGGACGCAAAATTCCTGATTGAATGCTGGCAAGAAGTCAGCGAACGTGGCGAACTCATGATCCTCGAGGACCAGCGAAAGAACGGCGACATAGTACGGTGCGCTGAGATTGCACGCCAACTGCTGCGCATCAGCACGCGTCTCGATCCGGAGGGTAGCCAGCGAGTCAACGGAGAGGTACAAAACGGCATGAAGAGGAGAACGGTGCACCAGTCGAGACACAACACGAAGGAGGTCATCGAGAAGTTCTTGGAGAACCTGGAGCAGGATCTCCTCAGCAAGTTTCAGGAATGCTATGCGCGTCCAAACTACGCTGGCATGCGCGACTGTGCCATTGCGCTCAAGGGCTTCAACGACGGAGCTAGTGTCATTGGAACATACGTCAACCAGCATTCTTTCTTCATCGACCGCATGCAACTGAATGGCGAAGACCTAGCGACGGATTTGGAGACTTGGGACCGCCTTCAAGATCCTGATGCGGAACCACCGGGCGTTGAGCCTACACTACAGTCTCTGATCGACGAAGTCAAGATTGTCGTTCAAGATGAGTCCGCCATCATCAAACGAGCATTCCCGTACTACGAGGAGGTGCTCATCAAGTTTCTCGAGCGCATCTTCCAGCAGTCGATACAAAGTCGGTTGGAGATGGTGCTCGACAAAGCAGGAGAGTTGTCTTCACTCGCATTCCTGCGCTCACTGCAGGCATCTAGGAGCTACATCACGCAGTTGGTGGACGATCTAAAATCACATGGGTTGACAGAGCACCCAGAGCCTGCTACTTCGGCGGTCGCAGCTACCCTTGATCAGCAGCTGGAAGAGCTCTTCTCCTCCTACTTTATCGGAGAGAAGTACATCGAGCGCGAAAAGAAGAACCTGGAGGAGCTTTACTCTTCGCTATTGCTCAAATTCACCATCTACCACTCGCGACGTAGCAAGATGCCAACCTCGTACTTTGGATCGCTGGCCCAGCGAGGCAAGGAGTTGGCTGCATCCGCTCGTGATAAGTATATGGAACGCCTTGAAAGCACCGAGTTGCCCGCTAGTCAAAAAGCAACGCTGCTCCGCATTGCTGGCTTGAAAGAAGACCAACAAGAGAAGAAAGACATTGAAGTGACTGATGAAGATGGCAGGCTATCGCTACCAGTCGCTAAGCGTATGCTCAAGTGGCTGGCAGAAGGTGTTGGGCGTGGACTTGAGCTGTCGCCTGGTAATGAGACGCCGAAGGACGTGCAGATATTACTGAACTTACTGCTACGGCAGATGGGCGAGATCTATCTGGAGACGGCACTAGACGCGTAAGTCATATCTGCTTGGATTACGCAACCTTACTAACACTAAAACAGTGCACAAGACCATGCCGTTTCCCAAGAGAACTCCAAGACAGCTCCTGATCTCGCCCACTTCCCGTCGCTACACGCCATCACCACAATTCTACATCTTCTCCAACAAACCACTACAACCATCGTCCTCCCCCTTTGCACACCCAACCTCACCATTCGCCGCGACATCGAGAAGTCCGCGAACAGCACGACGTCAACCCTTGAATCTAAACTATCCAACATCCTCAATCTCACACTCACAGCATCTCTCAACTGGGTGAGCAGATGTCTGTCCCAGCAAAAGAAGACCGACTTCCGGCCCAAAGAAGACGACCTGATGGTAACAACCGAGACACAAGCTTGCCGCGATGTCTCCGCGTTCCTAACCCGCGTCGCCTCTCAAGCCTCCGCTGCTCTCTCCGGCCGCAACCTTTCCCTTTTCCTCGCCGAACTCGCTCGCGGCCTGCGATCCCTCGTTCTATCCCACTTACTCAAGTTCACCATCTCACAAGTCGGTGGTCTCAGTGTATCTAAAGACATGAACCGCTATGTTGAGCTCGTGAGAGCATGGCCTACGGGTGATGAGCTGGAACCTGGTGCCATGGATGTACTGACGGATGTCAGTACGTTGTTCATCATCGGGCCTGAGGCGCTGAGGGATAGACTCAGGGCTGCGGGTGGACAGGATGCGCAGGAGCTGAAAGGGTTCATTGCTAGGAGAGATGATGTTGGAACTATTGGGGTACAGAGCGTGCTTAGTGGTTTGTAAAGATATAATGTTCTTACAAGATTTGCGAATCTACGAATGTATTAAACACATGTTGATCCTGTCCATGAAATACACAGCGAACGTCACTCTGAACATGCGCCACAGATTTTGCTAGTCCATCCACCAATCATGTTGATGCCAGCATCCGGACGCCAGGCACAGCCAAGCGATAAAACATATGCAGGGTCCGGATATCGCGGGTCTGAAGTTAACAATCGACCTGGTAACTCGGACCTAGGGGCCTCGACTATTGAAAAGTATGGTTCAGCGCGTGTCATCAGTACTTAGCGGGGAGGAAGTGACGTCCAAGGTGAATTGTCGCACTGCACATCATGTGGTGTATAAGAGGAAGTAACGATCCATGAATCTGGCGGTCACAAAGTCAACATCCAAACTCTCATCTTGAGACAATCGTTCCTTCTCCAAACGAACAGATCCATCCACATACACTAGATCCACCCTCCCAACCGCAACCATTTGTATCACAAGCGCCCTCGTGGCGTTGCTCGCCTGCTTTAGCGGCAAATCGTCATCGCACTCACGTTTACGCTCACAATCGCACTCATCAAAGTCGAGATCAAAGTCCAGGCCGAGACGAAGTTCAAGCAAGCGATCCACGCGTTCTGGCCATCCGCATAGGAGTTCGAGAGATTATCCGCGCCATTCGCACGCTCCGAGACGCGTTTACTAGGTGGCTTGTCTTTCGGGGGTTAGGGGATGGGCTCTGCGGTCTCGCCAGTCATGTGGAAGTGAGCTTCTGGGGGACTAGATTGAAGGAGGTTGGATGGTATAGGAGATGTTGGAATCACAGGTAGAGGTGATTGTGGTAGCATGGTCTGAGAAGCAAGTACGACAGTGTCGAAGGAAGCAGTCCAGAGTGTTAATTTGTCACTTCGGTGAAGTGCTTTATTTGGAGCCCTGATCGGGCAGGGTCTTTGTTGGAGCATCTTGTGACTGGAACTTATTTATCGGCAAGTGACCTAGATGACATATCAGGATTGAATTCGACCACGGCGGACTCCATCAGCAAGCCGTTATCATTGACGCGTGCTCGTGTTCTGATGTCAATGTTCAGCTACTTCGACTTTGGTGCGTCGATATCATGTCCAACATCTGCAATGTACGTCCAGCTATTCAGATGCCTTTTACCCTGAACTCACCAGCATGCACAACTTGAAAACAGTTGTAATACTTACCTACTTCGTCCACTTTTATCTTCACCTTTACCTTCACAGTTGCTGCCCATCTCTCACCACATACCAAACGCTACCGTGAGGCCGAGCGCTGGTTGACCATAAAAAGGCCTTTCTATCAATTTCAAGGTCACTACTCCTACACCACATCATGGCGCCTCCGGATATAGAGAAACGCGATCCAAAGGCTCCTGTACTCAAGGCGGCAAGCCGTGTTCAAAAGAGCGGAGTTTCCCGCCTTGCCATATGGAGGAATAAAAAATTACGTCTAGCACGCCTGGCAGCTATGTAAGTGTTTCCAGATCGTCGCGATGTCCGTAAGTAGCTGACGAGATGTTATTCAGCGCCAGCGCTCAACACAATAGCAGTTCGCCCTTCCTTCGCCTTCCAGCTGAGATCCGAAATCAGGTCTATAACTACGTTATGGGAGGAACGGTATACAGACTGCGAGACACACAGCGGTGTGGGAAAGCACGCTATCTCGACACTTATGGCTTTTATTGGAGTGAGGAGATAGCTCTTTCGCAAACCTGCCGCCAATTACACCATGAAACCTGTTTACTGCCTTTCCAAAACAACATGTTCGAAAGTACAGCCGCGCAATCTACCTTGAACCTCGAGGAATGGATGAACTTGCTGCAGCCATATCAGGCGAATGCCATACAGAGCATATACTGGACTCTAGGGAGATCAACCGCCGACCTCGAGGCTTTAAAGTCTCTGTTAAACAGCCGGCAAGGAATCAAGAAGGTGAAGTTATGGTTCTGTTATGCTCCGAGGTCGCACGAGGTAGACCAACGAGTCATGGAACCTGCAGGGTTCAAGTCTACGAAAACAATCAGCTATGACTATAACGAGGTTACGGATGAGGAGTACAAGGAGACGTGGTATGAGCGTACATGATGCTCTCATCAGTGGGTAAACATGTTATCGCTTCTTTGTTATAGTTGCTAACTTGAATATCTAGATTGCGCAAAGGTACATCTCGGATGGGAGAAGTCGCAAACACCAAACGTCAGAACGTCCGCACGTATGGCCTTGATCCGTCATTAAGACCATCGACTTTGTTTTTCATGGCGAGCAGAAAGTCATGCGTCAGTCCAGACACTGGTCGTTTTCGGATATCACCTTTCTTCACGATTTTGGCTTTCTTTTGCTGTTTTCCCGTTCGATCCTGATGTCTGCTGGTTCGCCACGAGCATCAGACTTGAAAGTTTCATTACCTTCCTAGCTAAAGCGTTCCAAACCCCCAGTCGCTGGGCTGTTACGGAAGATTTGCGATGGCCTTTTTCAGCTCCCAATTTGTTTATGCGAAGCGGCAAAAGTGTTTTAATGATTACCTTTCTCACAGCACATAGGTTACGAAAGGGTTTGAACCGCTTTCAAGAACATTGACTCACGTAATGCTTCCTTGTGTGATCTTCCCATCTTCCATACTACCTGCCAACTTATCCTCTACCTAGTGGCTCAATGGTAGTTATCCGCAATGTCATAAATACGAGAAGATTGATCACCAACCCTTCGAAAGCCTCGAAGTGGCCCTTTGCTCTGCACTGGCTTCGCTTTAAGCCACTTCCGCAGTATCACCATCAGCCTCTCTTTATAGACTGCCTCAAGTCGTTCAAACGTTTGCCATTTACGCTCCCGCAGTAATTCCACGTGAAGCAAGTCTGACCTACATTGCACGTCAGTAAGAACACGTTGCTGAACTTTTTCCATAAACCATAGACCACTCACCAGTATATCCCAACCTCTACGTTCTTCCCCTGTATAGCGCCGCCCATCTCCTCGAAGCACTCTCGCAAAGGTATGTTTGTTTCGATACCACTCCATTCCCACTCTTTCATGGCTTTCATCTCCTCAGCCGTTGGTAGCGTTTTTGAGAAGATCAAGTGATCGCGTGGTAGACACTCTAGCACAAGCAAGCCCAGGTTGAGATGGGTAAGCGCCGGGAATTTCGCTAGAAGGTTCGACGCAAACCATAATCTAGACTGCTCCACCAGACCGTTTCTTTCGTCGAATAAACGGATAGAGTACAACGGCAGCGAAAGCTTCCGTATAAGAGAAAGGTTATGTGCCCCAATCTTCAGCCAAAAGGTCGTGAGGAGACTCTGGTAGCCGTATTTCCCGTGTGCGGGTATGAGATTGAAGCAGTAGAAGCCGAAGAAGTAAGTGCGCACCTCTTGTGAGATTTGGCGGCTTGTCCTCATGAGACTCCAGAGGATGGGCCGCGCGGATGATTGGAGTGCTTGAAAGGTGCGGCGGTAGCAGAGGCGGACACCGACCGACAGCGAATCGGGGTCGCGTTTGTTGAAGAGGTATCGGTAGATTTGCTGCCGGACTTCTAGGGGAAGCTTTTCGAAGGAAGATTGGGCGGGTTGACTCGGAGGGGATGAGACTGTAAGGTTTAATTTTATCGCAGATAGGGACGTCGTCATGTCATCTAGTGCTGCAGATGAGGAAGACATGACTGAGAGATGTTGCCCGATGGCGCCGCAGTATCTTGAAGATGAATGCAGAGCGAGTTGAGGGATCAAGAAGGTATACCTATGGTTGACTGCGTGTATTGTTGATGAGAGACTGCACCCGGGTAGATAAGTAGGCTAGGGGACTGTGCAAAGTCCACACCGCGGCAGCCTGTAGCTCATCTAATTAAATTCGCCACATGTACTCGCAGAGAAATGACACTTCCATTCACTTGGCCTGTCAGCGCTTCATCGCAAACATTCTAGCTTATCGTTCTCTTCACGCGCTTCATAAGTCGCTAAAGTTTTGCTGGCTTATCGAATGCAAACAAGGAGCTCCCCTTCATCTCACCATCCTGCCATACCCATCCGCTTTTACCCACAATCTCGACCGCACCACTAGCCATCTGTCGCAATGTACTCTCATCGCCATGGTTCGAAAGGAAACGTTTGTTGCTGCTCTTTAAGCGACCAATAATGTGACCTCGAAGCGGGCTGCCGTCTCGGTTGAACTCTACGGTGTAAGTTTCGACAACAGCCTCGCCCTCTGGGTCGAAAACCAGCTCAGGCGTGGGTATATCAGTAATCTGTGGCGGTAGAGAGTTCTCTATCGGATAGTTTGCTTCTCTTCTAGGCTCTTTTGACAATATCACGACGTACTGATAGCTCAGAACGCCGCCATTGCAGAGCACGAGTCCCTTTTCCCCTTTACCGTCTCTTATCTGCCGAGTCATCTCGGTGAGCGCATGCATCGAATAATTGTTGCCAGCTCCGCCGAACGATGTCAGACCACCAAGTATCGTCAACGGCTTTTGACGACCAACTACAGGTATTCCTAGATGCTGCGCCGCAATCTTAGGCACAATGGGAAAGCAGGAGTAAATGTCAATGATATCCATCTCTTCCTTGGTCGCACCAGAAGTCTTCAAACTCGCATCGATAGAGCGCGATATACTGGGCGATGTGTAGAAGTTCGGTCGTTTCCAGAACTCATCGGCGTCCTTCGTTCCTGCGCCACCAAGCGGATAGACCCATTTCGATTCGGGAACACCTAAAGTTTTGGCGAAAGAAGTGGATGTGAGGATGATTGCAGAGGCAAGATTCACCGTGTTGAAGGCGTTCATAAGCAGAGGATCTGCGCGTGTGATGTAAGCTTCCGTTCCTAATGCGGAAAGAGGGGAGACCGACAAGGATAGCATATCATCCTGTTCTTCTTCCCAACAGTCTTGATGTCTTCTTCACTACTTGAAGCTCCTTGACTCCAAGCGTACTTATTATTCTTTGCGACGTCTGCAAATTCAGCATACAGCTTTGCGCTCTCTTCGTGGTTTGCCTTCAGCGTCTGCCCGCGATGCGCACGGAACGCGTTCTCGTAAAGTGGGTAAACATGTATCGGCGCACCAATCTTGTGAATAGCTCCAAGGTCTTTGCCAGAGTCAGTAGAAGAAAGGGTTTGCCAGAGAGAGGAAACCGCACTATTTCCTAGGTCGCGACCTGTTGGTGTGAAGACCGAATCTACGGCTTCGGACGGAGCTGTCCAGCCTGGTGGAGGAAGCTTCTTTGCAGCTGCACACGCGGATACTGGTACAATTAGCGATGAGTGGAGACGGCGGAAAGGCATGCGGTACGTACACGAAGCTAATGCTTCACCTCCAGTTACAATTGCGACCTTGCATTCGCCTTTCGCAACCCTCTTAGCGGCCTCATCGAAGAGCTTTCCTGGTTTATCGCCTCCATGTTCGGAATATCTCTTCCACTTCAGACTCTGATCAACGCCTAGCTTCTCTGCCAAAAGCCCGGGTAGATCTGGATACGGCCAAGTCCACGTCTTGACGACATCGATGCTGTCGATTGCTGACTGCAGGTCAGCTTTCGAAAGGCATCCGGTGTCGCTGATGGCTTTCTGGATGGCTTCTAGCATTAATGTCGCGGGCTCCTTCGCATCCGCGATGGCGGTGGAGCGGTTCTTGATGTCGCCTACGCCGATGATCACGGGGGTATTGGTGGACGTCATGTCGTGTCAACAGATTAAGCGCAAGACGGGCGCAGTTTGACCTCTCGGTGTGGAATGCAGTTTTACTTATGTCACGTACTCCGTGATTGAAGGCATGGCTTCCATTGCATGTCGGCGAGTCATGGTTGACGTGAGGAGTCGGATTTGCCGAGGTACAAACGACGGGAACCACTGCGGCACGCGCTGCTCATGTCCTCGACGCGTCAGTTCCGGTCATAGTGATTGATGCATGATCTGCAACAGTCCTCCAGTCTCTCCATGCAGCGTATAACAATACGACAAAAGCCTGTCCCTCCGGATTGATGCCGTTGAGCGGGGTCCGCTGACCCTCCTTCAGTGAGTTAACTACAGGTGCCGCAACACCAGTTTCCTCATCTAGATGGTGACCAACAGACTCCAACTTACGCGTCGCCCATCCTACATACCGTTCTCCGAATGTGCCAGGCTCGAGGGCCGCCATTCTGAAGACCGCAGCTGCCATCAACGCTGTTCCAGCAACCTCTCCAAACCATGTCTCGTCATCGAGATAGTTACGCAACAGGCCGGATGCATCGGTATCAGCCTCTATCGCGCCGTCAAGAATGCCTTTGGTCATATATAGTAGCATCTTCTGCTCATCAGCGGTTTCCGGTTTATATTGAGATTTGCGCAACGTTGCTAGGACCCTAGTCATCCCAGCTGCAGCCCAGGCATTGCTCGTACACCACGCGCCTCCATCGCTCTTTAAGCTGTCTGTGCCCTCGGCATTGGCAATGTGTCGCCAATACCCTTTCGACGTGCCCAGCACTTCGCAGTATAACTGGCACTGCCGTACACTCTCTTTCACCATGTCTATGTCTGAGGTGAAGACACCGTGGTATGCAAGAGCAGGCGGCACCATGTAGATGAAGTCTGCCCACAAAGAAGGGTACGCATCGCGATGCGATATCGCGCCATTGCTGTATCTGGGCGTGGTGGAGAGCAGGTCGTGTAGCTGGCGATTTACAGCAGAGAGGTAAGGATTGTCAGGCGCTTGGGAGGTTGTTGATTTGTATAACAACAAGGCCGGAATGCAGAGAGATGTCGGATCGGACGACGAACCTAGTTACTGCCTTTAGCATGCGTTGGACGAAATCTGAGAGAAGGGAGCTTACCGTTACCTTCGCACAGTCTCGCCCTATTCGTCTGTATGAATGGTTTCACATATCGCAACGCTTCTACATCCTCTACCGTCAACTCTGGTATCTTGCCCCCTGGGAATGGGTCATGGAAGATGCTGTGAAGAGGATCTCTGTACTCAAGTAGCGCTTCAAATACGGTGCCGTACTCCCAGCTATGCGACGCAGTTCCTTGCGCTTGGCAGAGAACTTTGTCGATCGCGACCCGCGGAATCATATCGCGAACTTCCCGATTGATGCTTTATGTTGGTTCCTAGAGTTCGACGGGGATTGTAGCTTCGAAGCGCGTGCATACACGTCTGCGGTATGACGTTGGCGACGCGCGCATATGGTGTCATCTCCGCGCCTTCGCTTCCTGCCGCGGGCAGGTGCAGAAAGCTTGGTGAGGGGTTATTGTTCCTTCCAAGCACCCTCGAAGCTTGACCCAACCAACTCGACAGGCCCATGAGAACGACCCAACTTACGTTTTGAGATATGATCGACTGTGGAGGATATTGGGCTGTTGTAAGCTTACATGATCAATCATAGAACTCACACCTGCGCGATGCCATGGGTCATGTGTGCTTAAAGAGAGAGATGAGTGTGCTCCAAGAGTACATGTCCTATGTTGCTATCTGCCTTCAAAAGGGCATGCGAGTGGACTGAATAGTATCAGGAGACCCACATGCTGGCGTGCGCAGGATTGCAAGACCAGCCGTGTCGACTGGGGTGGACGCCCGCGCAGTGTTACCCGCTGAAGTTTACCGAAGCTGACAGCCAGCTTCTTCTTGAAGGTCGGCAAGTAAGTAAGTACTAGGATGAATTGCGAAAAGGGTTCCTTCACTCAGAAATCCGAGTACATGCTAAAGCTGCTAGATTGTTGTCTGGTAGGACGGTGGGTCGCGCCATAGTTGCATGGCCCTACGGATGATGTACCCACAAGAGACCCGCAGTGAGTATTCTCCAAGCGACGTCCAAGCTTCTGAGATCCTGCCTGGGTGAAAGTGTTACGTTTGAAATCCTGAACGGCACGAATACTGAAGATAAGAGTAGCACATTATGATAACGAAGGAGGCCTAATAGCATTGCAGTCAAGTGTCAGAATCTTCTAAGCGAGTGCCAACATGTCGAGTGTCGAGCTACTGCGTCTTTTGCTATACGGCGCATACAGTCTTGGTTCGTACCATCGGCGGCTTGTCCGGTGAAACCAGACAATCGCGCTGCCGGATGAAGCACGAACCGCCATCCCCGCGATCCCCAGGTTTTGCAGTGGACTGTCAGTCAGTGCATTCTCCATGCGCCCCATGATCAGCTCCATTTCTACCCAGATCCAGCTCGCAAACCAGCGGCGGGTACCTCGAGCGCTAAGCCTTCTAGGCGTATTTCCAGAAGCTTGTCTGAGCTCTGGACACGCCCAGTTTAAGCCTCATGCACACAATACGCGCGGTTGACGTCGGCTCAGTTCTTATCACCTCACTCCGCACGTAGGGCGCGTCTCCAAACCCCAACAGACGAACAGTGCCCATGGCGCAAGGAAGTAAACCCGAAGGAATGCGCGCCGCGCAGAGTGGACGTCATCATACGAGTTAAGCAACGGGCTGCAACCATCACAGCGCTCGAGGTATTTTCCCCCGCCTTTTCTACCGGTAGTTCGTACTAGCCAACGATAATTGGTTCCCCAGAACCCGTTCTAACAAGGGTCTGGGCTACAATCGTCCCATACGTTCGATAAGGACTTGGCCACCGAAGCCGTACCATGTTTGGGTAGGTCCGAACCGCGAACGTGGAATAATCCTCCTCTCGCGCCGGCCCATACACCACATTTGTTACAAAATCTGCTATCACGACCGGCGCATTCTTCAGCCGCCTTTGGCATCCCATCTATATAACCACTAGGCATCCCTCTAGGGCGAAAGCAAGATTGGTACCGCCGACCAAGCCCTCCTTCTGTCTCGTGTTAACCATGCCGAACCACCACATGGCCGACGAGAAGCCCGAGGCTGTGCCGTATGGCTACGATGAGAGTCAGGTTGGCTTCGAAGAGCCGTTTGTTCATGGCGCCGCTACTGTTGGTGGTGAGACTGGACGAGGAGGAGACACACATCGTGGACTGAAGAGTCGACACATCCAATTTCTGTAAGTTCGCCCTACCTTGTATCGCTAGAGCAATCACTGACCCTTCGCCAGTGCGCTTGGTGGTGCTATCGGAACTGGTCTCTTCATTGGATCTGGATCTATCCTTGCTTTGGTCGGCCCTGCTCCCTTATTCATGGCCTACCTCAGTATGATGCTTGTTGTTTATAACGTCATGAACAATTTGGCCGAGATCGTCACTTACCTCCCAATGCGCGGCATCACCATTCCTTACTTCATCAAGCGATTCGTAGACCCGAGTCTCGCATTCGCAGCCGGTTGGAACTATTGGTACGCCTACGCCATCTTGGTCGCTGCTGAAGCTACAGCCGGAGCAATTCTTGTGGAGTACTGGGAGACGCCTGTTCACAACGCTGTCTGGATCACCATATTCCTGGTCGTGGTCTTGTTCCTCAACATCGTTGCTGTCGAGGTATTTGGAGAAGCCGAGTTCTGGTTCGCTTCTATCAAGTTCATCACCATCATCGGTCTTGTTATTCTCGGCTTTGTCATCATGTTAGGTGGCAGCCCTAACGATCAAGGAAGGCTAGGTTTCAGATACTGGAACAACCCTGGCGCATTCAAACCGTACATCGTGGAAGGGAACTCTGGGCGCTTTCTGGCCTATTGGACTGCGTTCGTTCGTGCCGGATTCGCTTTCATCACTTCGCCTGAATTGATTGCGCTTGCCGCCGGAGAGACTATTGCCCCACGTCGGAACATCCCCAAGGCTGCTGGCCGCTTCGTTTACCGTCTCGCCATCTTCTACGGTCTGGGTAGCTTCATCATCGGTGTTATTGTCCCATCAGACGATGATCGCCTCCTTAGCAAGAGCTCCAACGCTTCAGCTTCTCCCTTCGTCATTGGTATCCAGCGTGCGGGAATCGTAGGTCTGAACCACGTCGTCAACGCGGCCGTCTTGACATCAGCGTGGTCTGCCGGAAACGCTTTCTTGTTCTCCGGATCTCGTGTCTTGTATGGTATGGCTCTCAACGGAGAAGCGCCTAAGATCTTCGGCAGGACCAGCAAGAAAGGTGTACCATATGTGGCTGTTCTCGCTACATGGGCCATCGGACTCCTGGCGTACCTGAATGTCTCCAGCACTGGCGCCCAGGTCTTTTTGTGGTTCTCCAACATCTCCACCATTTCCGGATTTATTGCCTGGATCGTTGTCATGATCACATACATCCGCTTCCGCAAGGCGATGATCTTCCACAACTTGCTCGAATCTCTGCCCTACCGCACACCGTTCCAGCCATATCTTACATACTTTGTTCTCGGCGTAGTATCGCTCCTGACGCTGACCAACGGTTTCCAGGTCTTCGTGCCTGCCAACTGGGCCGTTTCCGACTTCCTTGCCGCTTATATCACCATTCCAATCTTCATCGTACTTTACGCTGGCCACAAGATCTACTTCAGGACACCGTTTGCCATCAAGGTCGAGCACATTGATGTTATAACGGGTGTGCGAGAGATGAACGAGTTGTGCAAGGACGATATTACCGGTGCACCAGTGCCGAAGAACGTTATGCAGAAGATCTGGTACTGGATTGCTTAGTATCGCACTAAAGAGCATTTTCAACGATTTAATGTGCCTACTTTAAAGTCTTTTGCTCCGTAGATACTATCGATTAACGAGATCATGTTAGTTGATCTTTCGAGTCAATGCCACCTGGGTAGTTCACGATTTCGTCCCTTGTTGCGAACACAGGAAAGATCAAACTTCCGTCTTGCGTGCAAAAGCAACCACGATGACGTGTGAGGAAAAGGTTGGCCAACCACATCGTGCATGCGAAGAGTGCGGCTGAGCACCCCGCCAAGGCTCAGCCTGATCCAACTTGACGGCCTCTACTTCCTTCTTAGACTTCTGATACATTATCGAACCTCACTACCGTCGATTACTGTTCGCTTCCCGTTGTTCACCGGTCGACGCACACCTAGATATCGGGGTCATCATGATTTGGTACTGGGAGCAAGGCAAGCTCATTTCCACTCGTGCAAGGCTGGAATAGGTATACTTACACAACTTGCAGATTCGCCCTCCCAAGAGGTATCATGGCAGAGCGCTTTTTGGTCCTTGCTTCCTCTCGCTTTGAGCTGTATGACCCAGCCATCTGGCCAAGTGTTACAGTACCCCCATCAGTTGAGGACCTATCTTCGGAGCTCTCCGATCATCTGCGCATTTGATGCGTTGGCACAACTCATTCGCTTTTCGGTATATCTACTCTCGGGATACTATACTTCGCCACTGGATGCTGCCACTAGAGCGATGCGTGTGCGAACGCGGCCGCTGCGGGACTCTGGACCTCAAGAAGGATTCCAGACCCTCGAAACCCTGACCAGTGTTAGATGGCTCATCTTTGTTATCGGAACCCTCACTCAGGCTGTCAAGCTCATGGCTACAAGCGGGTTGCATTGGACGAAAGCATGGGGTGGTCTCTTTCTAGCCAGCTTCGGAGTCATGGAATGCTTCATCGTAGCTGCATCTTTCCGGCAACCACCGACTTCAGGCTCATACACACTATTAGCAGAAGAGGATGAAACGAATCATGCTCTTAGACCGAGGTGGATGAGGGATGCGCGATATACTTTGGAGCGCAATCTGGATCTTTTTGAGTTGTTTTGGGGCTATCTCGCTCTCGCCTT